TACAGGACCATGCAATTTGCTGGCTTCTGCATAAGATATACAGCTTTTAGCCATAGTTTCTTTTATTGCTTTTTGTCTCCATAGTTCCGGGCAGTTTTTACTGTTAGCTTGATGATCACCAAGACATAGACAGCAGCAGAAGTCTTCTTGCTGCGTACAGTTTTCACCTGAATGTCCTTTACTACATTTATAGCACCGTGGTGTAGAACGGCATTGATCCTTAACATGACCATATCGACAACAGTTATAACATTGTATTGTTGGGTATATGTAAATATCTACAGGTAATGAGTTGTAACACATAAATACACGTTTAGGAAGTATTTGACCATCAAAAGTTATAATAACAGTTTCTGTGTCAACAAATATGGATTCACCATTAATAATATTCTTACGTCTAATCCTTCTAACTTTAAGTATTTCTCCACAGCCAAGTGGGACAGAAATGTTACTTATTACCTCTTCAGGGGACCAGTTTGAGGGAACACCCTTAATAATTCCTATTCTAGTAAGATTAAAAGAGGGAACAAATGCTTTATAGTTCTGTTGTTTTAAACGGTCACAGTCAATGAAGGAATTGGCATCAATAAAATTAGAGAATGACAAAGCTAGTCTATTCCTACCAATTTTTTTCAAACTACCATTAATAACATTTTTATAAGCACAATTTTTTAAGAGGCGACCAAAGGCAATTGGGTGTACAGTAATTCTGTCATCCGGCGAAGACTGCTCCTTTTGGATATGGACTACATAAGGTGCCGCATCACCTAATTGATAATAAAGCCTAGCTACTGATGGTCGTAACTGACTTGAACCAGCATTATCCATTTTATCCTCATTATTTGCACATGTCACAGGAGGTTGCTCGACCTTATTCTCATTATCCTCTATATTTGTACATGTATTAGAAGAAGGTTGATCACCTTCATTTACAACAGCGCATTGACAAGTGTTCTCTTGATTTTTAGAGTTTCCTTTAGAACCGCGATTTCTTCTTCGCTTTTTGTTACAGTGTTTACACACATGAGTAGCAGATATACGTTTTCGTTTAACTTTCAAATTCTCCACTAGGGTAAAAGAGCAATCAGTATCCATGGAATCATTTTCATTATTGCTAATAGTTACGTGGAGGCCCACCTGAGGGCCTGTGCCCCCAGGATCCTCAGGAGGGTCCATATATAAATTAAATAATTATGACTTACCTATGTTACAGCTACTATAATTACACTAATAAACAAATAAAATATATATAAAAGAGTGAAAATATCTACAATATCTAACTTAACTGATCACTATTAAATTTTTATTTAAATCTTATCAAAAAAACACGACCACCAAATTCTATGTTTCCCGCCTTTTTTCTTATATTTCTAATTCTAAAATTTCTAAATACAAATAATATGAAACCACGTAAGGACATTGCGCCGATGACATTGACAGTTAACCTTACATATGTCAATGTCAATGACATTATATGTCATGCGTACAATATGTCAGTTTGACGATTGATAACGGCTCTTCCACAGAATATATAATAGTACCATAATTACTACCCTCAAGTACAAATACTATAGAAAAACATTCTGTTTTACTGATTTCGATATTTTAATGAACTGCTATAATAAAACAAGATGCTAGGCTATGCCATGTAGTAGAGATTAGAAAAATCCTGTAATTTTATCGTACAAAAATATGGGTATTTACCTATATATAAAAACGAGTAGGCAGCCAACCTAATGCGAATATAAGTAGTAACCAATGTCAATGTATATGAACAGAACAAACATTTGATGCTCTATTATCTCTTATGATACATTTTGAAATACTAAGATGTTATGCCTTCGTATCCTATAATTATCCTTCAACCGAAACAGCTTACAAAGCAAGTTGTTTGGCAGCTGAAAGAGGTGAGACTAAAGTATTCGTGAGCATATTCTTTATATGAGGTCATAAGTCTGTTAGCTTTATATAGCTATTAGCTCGCTCAACCTACACTGGAAACTGTGTGAATTAGGTAATAATATGAAAATATATAACACAGTAAAATCCCAATTATCCGGATCAAATAAAACCAATGAGCTATAACGATAGATAATTAATTACATAATACCTATGTAATTAAAAAATTTGGAAGTAACTTGTTATTAATCTTTGACGTAATGAATCACATCTTAACATTGCGGCCAAGTCCCTGATGCGCTTCACTTGTAACTACTGTATGGGATCTGATTCGTCCTGTCTTTCAAACGACTTAAAAGCAACAACTAGAGCTGTAAAAGCTTCTACGTGAGATGGTACTTCACATACAACCCCAGTTTCAGTCTTTTTTCCATCTTCTCTCTCGTTATATACTGTAGAAATGCTCAATAATCTAAATTGATAATTTGAGAGAATGAGTCCGGATAATCGGATGTTCGGATAACTGGGATTCTACTGTACTTAAAATATGTTAGGGCTAGTGAAATAAATGACGCGGCTGATAATTAATTTATATATATTTTCTATAATTTCACTTCTCAGCAACAATCACTCAAATAAATATTGAAATATCTCTATGATATCATTCAGATCATTTCCTGATAATGTAAAAATAAACATTAATTACAACTAATTTATTAATCACATAAATATAGTAGCTAACTAAAGTTACATGTATGAATTTCACTATAATTTCATTTGTTAACGGCGTTCACAAATATATTCCACTTTTAGTTTCAATTTTGAATCAAATAAGACAATCGATTGTCGAATTTTTAAATCGACTATATTTGTGGACACCATTACTTTAACTTTTAATGCTTCACCTCATAATAAATAAACTGCTTGACTGTATGGTTTAGGCACATCACTAATTTTTATTATAAATTCTAAATACAATTCATTCATAACTTCCATGAAACCAATACAAAGCAAAATCTACAACGTCATCGTTGACTAGATTAGCCGTGGCAACACGAAAACAATCTGCCACCAACTCGCAATTCGATACTGGCTGTTTTCATTTTATTTTTTTTCAGATTCGAGAGAAAATCAGCCAGTATATGATATCGCGATTTCTACGAATGTAACACCGGGTTACAATCGAGAAATACGTTGTGGCAGACAGTTTAATTCCATAAAGTTTGTAGTCTCACGTAACCTCCTGCATTTATAAGCCTTATCAATTTCACCCAATATTGGGCAAGAGTCTATTTCTATTACTAATTATCACTACACTTATCACTATTTTATGGCAGTATTGCAGGAAATTAGCGCGTAGACAACATGAGTTTCTTATAATCAAGCAGCTTATAGATGAGCTGGCTGCTAAGGCCGCAGTATTATTTTTTTTTTAATATTCTCGAGCGGCTTATTGTAGCCTCTTAACGCCTGCGATGCGGTGCGTTGGGACTTACTACTATATCGTAAGCAACTTAAGGTGACATTTAAAGAAATGCAGTATCCCATCGCCCCGCACCGCAACCATCGAGCTACTTTTACATGTAAAAAATATGTTTAAATTCTTGTAATATTTTATGATTTTTGTAATATTTTCTTACATTCTTATTTTATTAATCTCAATGTGCTGTTACATATTGTATACGTAAATATCCGTTTAGAAACATTTAGTTCCATGTCTATTAATAATAATTAATTAAATTGCATAATTATAAAGTGGGCAAGTATAATAAATGCCACAATATTTTTACTTACAGCTAAAATAAAAACGTTTATTAAACGCAACTACAATTCCGTTACACGAATTTAGTATATAATAAATCTTAGGCTATGTAACAAAAAAGGATACAGCTATTTGAAATCCTGAGATATCAAAGTTTCTATGGAACACAATTATTTTTCATAGGGACATAGAGAAGACACGTTTTAGAAATTTCTATATTTGAATTTCGAACGACACAAATAAGGTGAAGCGAATTTCATGAATATACCCCATACTTCTAAATTCGTATTTGATTTCAAACAGCTATATCCTCTAACTTACATAGATTATAATTACACTTAATGTGTATACTCTTTAGGTATAATAATAATATTATAATTTGGAATTTGTTTAATTAATTAATCGTCTGCAACCAGCGCAGAATTTTACTAATTAAAATAGTAGATATCTCTTAATACGAACAATACAAAATTTATCACTCGAAACTAAAATACAAATACAATAAAACTACCAGACTTCACAGCCTGAAAATGAAAAATGTAATAATAAATAAATATATTAAGTCTATTTGATTGACGATGATTTACGCGCGCAACTCTTAATTTTTCTCATAAATGCTTTTGGCGGTAAAATAAAGTTCTAAATTTAAAATGGCGTCGAAAAAAGTTATGCTAAGACAGATCTCGATCTGTTCCTACGTAATCATGTTTCATACTAAAGCATAGTAATAACTGTGTTTGTAATTTACTCAAAAGCCGAGTAGTTTAGTAAATAAATTTCTGTACTCGAATAAAAGTGACTATAATTTTATCGAACTCTATTAATTATTTTAATTTGTTATGTCATAGACAAAAAAGAGTTTATTTTATGTGGTTAATATATCACTTTGCAATCAATAATTTGACTATCTATAAACAATAATTTAATTGGGTGGCTTTTATACATATCGCAATTATGTTATATAATCGTAATAATATAACATATTCGAGTACATAATAATTATTTAACATTGAACTATAATATGTATAAAAGTGTATCAATAGTTTTGTGACGGAATAATCATGATTGTATGAAGTTTACTAGTAAATAATTATAAATATAAAAAATATCTTAAAATATTTTAAATAATTAAAACCCAATAATAATTTGTTTAATTCCCTATATGAGACCAAGAAATTCAAACCGAAATTAGAAATCCAATTCTTAGGGCACAATCTGCATTGAACAAATAAAGAGACTGTGCTTTTGATAGTGCTTTTTTATGAACAAATAAAAACGTATATGTATATAGAATCTTATTTAAACAAAATAATGTCAAATTGGAGTTTTTACTTATATCACATCTGTCTACAATATATACTATAAATAGAGTTCCATGTATCTCTCCAAGAGAATATAAGTTTTGTCTATTTTGCGAGCTATTTTAGAGTGTGAAATTGAATTATAATAAGCACAATTAATACTATGTCTAACATAGTATACAGATTGAAGTCCTTGGTTCAAAAAATACAAAAAAAGAAAACAATATTTTTTCTAATAAATTCATAAATGGAACTTCACTAAATCGAATTCTCGACTAAAAATCCCACTCGTTAAAATCATCCACTCGTTTCAAGTAGCATTAAACATCAGACAAATGTATTCATATCTCAGTAGATGTATCTTTAAACTTCTATATATAGACCGTACAAAGTTTAAAATGAACTTGGTAATAGACAATTAGGTCGTAACATTGGTCTATTAGGTACATATAGAATCGACGAGGATCATGGTTGAATATAATGAGCAACCAAGGGTAATCATGGTACCCATAGCGATGCTGGAGTGGTACATTCGGAACACTCTCAAAATACGCATGTAGCGTGGACAGTGCGCCAATTCACCAAGAATCAGTTGACCAATCTGTAACAATAAAATACAAATATTAAAAAATATACTAAAAAATCTATGATTAAAATATTTGTCTATGCTCTAAAATTAAAAATACGAATATACGCTTTATTATTAACTTTTAGTAGTGATTATTTGCTTAACAATACCTACAACGCGCGATGTACTGGTATTAATTTGAATTAGGAATGTGCTAGTTTCTGATTCCACAAATTATTAAAAAGTAATCACTTGATTACTTTTTAATAATTATATAATAAACAGTAAATAATATACTTATATTATTTACTGTTTTCGCGGCAATTTTATAAAAAAATATTACCCATTGAAATGGAAATGTGTAATATGAAAAGGCCTAAGTCTAAGTTGCAAGTATTACGCGATTAGTCAGTAATGCTTATTTTGATTTTATAAATGCATTAAGTATTGATTAACTTTATTTCCTTACTTCCTACAGATAACAATAATGGGCTTCCAATACACACAAATGTTAATTAATCAATCACTTCTTTATTTATAACAATTTATCTTGTAATTTTGTTTAATCATTAGTCTACATTATTTTTAACAATGATTTTAGTTGCGTTTATTATAAAAAGATTTAGTCATAGGGATAATGATTTCTGTAGAAAATATATCAACGAATTTCGTATTGATATCATTCGAGTGGTAATATTTCGTGGTAAATCTATTCATAATCTAGTTGAATTGAACTTCTCGATCAGTAATGAAGGCCAAGAACTTTAAAACGATTGTAATCAATGCCATTATGCAGTTGAAAGTAAAATGTTACAAAATTGTATTAAAATATCGTTATTTACGTAGACCTATTACAAACTGTTATGCAAAGTTAATTCTATCGACAGTTATCGTATAGTTTGAGCCTAGAAGAACTAGAATAAATTATGAGTATTCAAAAGTGCTTATATTAAAGATTATTTCTATTTCTATTCTATTGTAAATTATCAAGAAATAAATATTTATTATATTTACGTTAGTGTATACGATACGGATGTCAATAAGTCTCGAAACAAAAATCATTTAATCAAATTGGTATTTGCCACTAAATGGTCATATCGACAAATGATATTATTTAAATATTTATAACAGCTACATGATTGATTGGGTAATTAATAAGGTTTTTGGGGGGAACAAGGGTTTTTTTATGGATGATAATGGAATGGCGCACTCGCTTGCACTAACGGTTTACGCTGGCGGGCACCAGTGGAGGATGATAAGATGAGGATGAGGTCAGGTCAGTTAGCCCATCGTGACAAATTCACCAATAATTTATCACGATGGTTTCCAGGGGGAACCGCGTGGAGGTCAACCTGACATGGTACATTGCTAGCAATAAGATCATCAGTCCACATTACTAACAATCCCCTTTCCCCCTGGGGAAACAGGGTTGTTAGTAATGTGGACTAATGTCCCATTGCTAACAATGTACTGGACACCATCATGATAAATTTCTGGTGAATATGTCACGATGGACTAACTGACCTGACCTCATCTTATCATCCTCCACTGATGCCCCATCAGCGTAAACCGTTAGCGCAAGAAGGCGAACCATTCTATTATTATTATTTTAAAAAAATACGTTTTTTTTATTTCTACGTAACATTGTAATTTTATATGATAAGAAAACTATATTATTATAATTAAGTTTTAATTAATGATTGCAATATTGTTGGTTCAAATAACCTCGTTACACTGATATATCCATATCAGTCACTTCAAATAACTAGGACACAAAGTCTACTCAGTGTCTAGAGCAATTCTAGACATTGTTATCTATAGCCTAGTTTATTGCATACAATCAAAAGTAATGTTGCCAAGCAATTTGCTTTCTAAGTTTTGTTCCGGTTTTATGTGTAAAGTTTATGCCCTTATATATATCAATAAGCTGTATCTACTATTAGAACGTAATGTTTATTTATAACAAGCCACAAATTTAATGAACATAATACAGTGAGATATGAAATCTAAATTGAAACTACTGGTTGTGTTTAAATATATTAAATAAATATGCTAAAAAGTGCTAGCACAGTTCAAAACAAAAAATATATTATTCTATGTGACGTGAGCCTGATCTGTGCTCTGACTTACGGTGTCATATATAACAAAATATCTTGCAATATTTTTTTTAAGAAATTATTATTTGCAACTTTTGCAAGCTTTGTTTGATAATTTTAACCTATTGTATATGTAGGTGCTTGCTAACGAACTATATAGAGCTAAAGTTTTGTTAAAGTTTGGTTGAACTCTCATAAGGACGCTGTCAATTATTATAAAAAAGTAATGTAATTTGCTCTATGGTAAATCATAGAAACGTATAAGTGTACGGTATGTTGCACTTACTTCTTGTCCACCTCCGGCAGCTTCCTCCATCTGTGTTTTGATGTGTTTGGCGCGAATCATTGGCCTCACGAGGCGCAGTCGAATGAATGCTTCTATACTGAACATCGCTAGCAACAGTGCTACCTGTAATCAAATAAAAGGGGATACATTAAAACCATATTTACCGAGATAGGCTACTTACAAAGTACCATGAACTACCTGCCGAGGTTTTCTCGAGAAATTACAGCATGGGGTTTTTTAAGAAGAATAAAAGAAGAAAAGAAGAAGAAAGTTTCAGGCGTCTATAAGCTACGGTTTTACCATCAGATGGGCCGTATGCTTGCTTGCCACCTATGCCATATACCATGGGGTTTTTATGAGGAATTGAACCCGCGACCATCTAAAGTAAAGCGGTGTGCTAAACTGCTACATCACCGGGGCCATCTATTAATGAATGCTATGTGTCTAATCAAACACAAAATGTACTCATAATCTATTTAATTTTATCACTTGTGATATATATGTATATATCTATTTAATCCAGGTATTAATTTAAATGACGTTTGTTTTTTTATATATATAATACGATAGTGGTAAAAATAGTTATTTTTGTATAGGATATAACTTATAATCTTTATAGATAATAGAAAGCTACTGTATCCCTATGTATCATAGGCTAAATTTAAAACAGAATTTCCTACGGTATCGGAAAAATAGTACCTTGATGTTGAAACAGAAAGAACGTCTACAAATATAATGATACAAATGATATTTAGCTATCCAATTGTAGAGGTAAATAATTATTACACATCGTATACATATACATGTGTGTCTATGGACAGGAATGTCACTCAATTCCTTATTAAACATACGTACATATCCAATTGATCTCCCAATTCTAGCCAATCATCATAACGAGATAAATGCATTATGCATGCACTATATATTTTACTAAGGGGATATTACGCAATCAGTCATCTCAATTCACTGTATGACTCAACTAAACATTCGACCTACATAGCTGTAATGTAATTAAGAAATAACAAAGAAAGTTATTATGTTATCTATGGTATTTACTGGATAAATTATCTCGTATGACGATAATAAATATATGAACAAATATTTCCCAAATTGTATATATTGGCAAATTCACAAAGTGCCAAGCCATAAAAAAATAACGTTTCCATAAACATTCCCGCCTAAAAATGATTCGCCATCTTAATAATATTCAACGAAAGCAAAGTTACAATTTTAGTTATCTGTATGTTGAGATTAAAGGATATATTCGAGGACCTGCCTTGAAATGAGAAAGTAATATTTAATCTACATTATATTTATACCTATGTAATACAATCAAAAGTCAACTAAGGACGTATAAGTTTTGTGTTTACACAGCTGCAGTACAGCTAGTACTATATCTATAGTACTTTTGAGAAATGGATATTAATTATTATCTTTGATATATTAACAAAGTAATTGTTACTTTGTTAATATATGTACATATATTTACGTATGCTCAATAACATGTAATTGAAAATTGTGATACGTGTACTTAATTTCTCATTAATATGTCAACTGAAGTTTGGGCAAGCGTCCACCTTCATTAGTTTTTAGGTTGGTTAGATAGACAGAATAAAAAGTTAAAACAATTCAATATTAAATATTTCTATAGAATTTAACCACAATCTTATTTATTAAATAATTATATAACAATAGGTTGTATATATTTAATATAACATGTATATTGATATTTGTAGGTATTCAAAATAACTTTCAGAGTAAATTATAATAAAGGGGAAGATACAAATTGAATTAAATAAAATTGAAATGAATAAAATTGAATTGAATTAAATAAAATTGAATTGAAATGACAAGAAACAATTTATTTATATTTACATAGATTAATATCGAATATTTAGAAAAAACATTAAGCGTTTTACTAGTCTATGGTAGTTGATTAAAGTTTGACAAAAAAGAACTGCTTTTTGTGCATCTAAATGGTATTGGATGCAATTTGCACGCATTACCGGAACGATATTATTGCTTAACCGTAAATCGAGTGGCGAATCGATTAGACAGTCGATTTTCCCGTACTATTTCTGGAAACAGGAGACTGTTATAGGTTTAAAGTACCCTTCTAAATTAAACCCTTCCATATTTAAATTACTTTTTAAATATGGAATAATTATATTTTAAATTTGGAATTAAATAAATTTTTGTTTAATTGTCAGAGTAATCGATTAAGGCCAATGACACCGAGTTAAATGTCATATTATTATAATTGCTGCAATGCACTGGCGCCAAGTGCCCATGTGAAGGTAGGTATGTAATTTGAACTGTAGTCGTATTTTGGTGTAACATGATATTTTTGTACCTAGAGGTACTTCTATATGACTGCTTTATACTTTTTAAAAACCACAGAGTATGTGTATTGTATGTATATTTTATGTAGAAGACAAGACTTTCAATTCGAAATTTGAAAGTTTTTTGACTATCCAGTTACATAAAAAATGTTGAGGAAAAACAAGCCACATAATGAAGTGTATGAAAGTAAGAAGTACTGTGTATACTGACCTGTACCCAGCTGATGTGTTCAAAATTAGACAAGTACTGCGTCCTGGTGTATGCGAACAATCCTATTAGGCTCATCGCGGCATTGAACGCGTAGTACAGAGGGAATAGCACAGTCTGCACACGTCCGAAGTCATGCCGTGGGAGAGTGAAGTACAGCACGATTCCTGTGAAAAAGAATGAGATGGTTAGAACTTTGCTGACTGCATTAAAATTTCAAATACATTATTATGTAAAGGCAATATATACTTTACGTTAACTTACATAAAGTATCTTAAGTTCTAAATTCGAATGAATTTTTCTCTTAAGTATAGCTAGCGTACACGAAATAGGTAAAGATCTTTGCCCAGAAGTGGGATTATTTAAGTTATTATTTAAAATATTTTCTAAGATTGCTTATCATTTGACGTTTACACGTGTATAGCAGGAAGTGCGAAACTTATAGATAAATGCTAGGAAGTTAAATTGTTTATTATAATTAAAATAGTTATAGATTAGATAAAACACTATAACAACATGTGATGACGATTATTTACGTTATTTTACAACACTGCGTAAATATAGCTGTAAAGAGCGTAGAGTCGTGGCCTACCAATTTAGACAATAAAAAAAAGTTGAATTTTTGACAATTTTGATTTTAAATTTCGAATAATAAAATATTTCGCTGAGAATATTGAAATCCATTCGTATTCTGAAATGATTAAAATTAAGTTGATTTTAATAAATACTATTCCTAGTACTTACATGGTCACATAAAATTTTAATTTAATGACTAACCCAATCATAAACAGTCGTCATTACAGTCTATTTTCTAAGTGGAGGTTATACTCATTTAATCCTGTACGTGCTGTCAATTTATATTACATTTTATTAGCAAATGGCATCCAAGTAAATGGGCATTAATTTTGAAATTAGCTACACTATTAACTAAGGTTATGTATTCTGTATGTTGGTTATGAATTATTGTAATTGGTTGCATTTACATCGTCAATTTAAATATGTAATGTAAATGATTACCTGAAATTATCTTTCAAATTACTATTCGGATTTAGAAATATCTGTATATTGGTTAAGAAGTTAGATTGTCACAATTAAGGCTTGGGTACATAATTTAATCATATTATGGCAACCTTTATTGTAACATTATAGAACGCAAAGGAATAAATTAAAAACTATATTTAAAAAAGGAATACTAATATAATATAGAATAGAAGTGCTATTCTTTTTTCAAATTATATATAAAAAAAGATAAACTGTTCTTTTTTTAAATATATAATTTGAAAAAAAGAATTCATTCATTAAAATTTCATCTTACTAAGACATGAAATTGCACCAAGTGCCAAGCCATTACAAAAGAAAACACGTGAAATTTCTTTATTATCATAATAATTGTGTATATAACATAATGACCTATGAAATGTAGATAATTTGGTAGTACCTTATATAAGGAAAATACAAAACAATATCGACACTAAATGAAACAAAATACGAGTAGAGTAGGTACAGTGATGAGTTCGCGGCTGTTTCGCACAGAGTACGTCACAGGAAGGTCATATCAATGTTCCGACTGAACTGAATCGCATTATAAGTACCGGTATCATATCAATTTTATTGGTCTCGTTACTAGCAATTTGCGAATTATACGACACTTATGGCGTGCCGACGGAATTGTTCTAGAATGCTAACATGACTCTGGTATTGAAATATACCAAATCAAATCATAACATCTTTATTCATGTAGGTTATTACAGACTATTATGATATGTCAAATCCGTCAAATGCACTCCCATTTGAATTAAAAATAATTGACAAGAAACTCTTCTTTTATTCTTTTTAAATGAGCATTATTATAAAAAGAGAAAATATAATTGGGTCGTTTCAAATTATCTTCACTAGTAAGTTCCAGAGATTTCAAATCAATTATATCAAATCAAAATATCTTGATTCATGTATGTCTATTACAGACTCCTATGATATGTCAAATCTACCGTCAGTTCGGAGTGCTGTGAAGCTAAGAGGAACTGACTAGAAACTCAGCTCGTATTCTTTTCAAATGAGCTTGTACATGATTACAAAAATGCAGATTCATTTTTAAATTAAATTAGGGAAATTCGTCTTTATAACTGCGTAATTATAGGTCGCCGGGTTGATTGCTGACGATGCGCCTATTCCGATGTCCGGTTTTGTTTATTCATATTACTTATATCGCCTTATGTATTTTGATCATTGATTATTATATGTAATCTAATCTGATTCTTGTCATGTCATATGCTAAATCCAAAGAAATCCTTTATTTGATAAACAGCGAAAGATATAGAATTAATACTTATTGGTCATATAATAAACAGCGCTTCTAACCCGGAACTAGTGACGTAATAATTCCGATTAATTTTTTGAGCAACTAGTTTAATTATATTAACGGCTACATTTATGGCTGTGTGAGTACGATACTTTAGCTTTTGTTATTGGGTAAAGAGAAAAAAGGTTACAGAGCACTATAAAAAAAATTGTATAAGGTTAATATAGGTTTCGCGCCAAAACACACGAATCGTAATTAGAATTAATGAATTCAATTCTAATGAAATCCTTTACATTGTAGATAACAATTTTATAATCTCCGTCGCTCTTTACGATTTTAAAAGGTTATGTAAATTTGCTGCGTATATTTCTTTGATAGCTTAAAATGTTTATCTACTTTTATTTATATAACCGACCTTCATGTTTGCGGTTCTCATCAATCATATTCTAATCCTTTGAATTTTTACCTAAGACAAATAATTTTAGCTTGTATAATAACAAAAACATTTTTCTCCTCTCTTCTGTAGCCAAAATTTTTGTTTTATTATTTTTTGTCTCTTTATACTCTACCACTATAAAATGCAACCGATTTTCAAGATTTACAATGTTTATTTTCTTATTTTCAAAATTTCATCAATTTATTTTAAAGTTAATAACATAAATCTATTAATGTGATTAGGTCAACGTTATTAAAATATTACAGAGTGCGTTTAGTTTATGTACACATAGGACATTTGAAAAATAGGAAAAACGGCTATCGGCATAGCTGTATGCGTCCTTTAATCTTTGCTATCGGATAAAGAAATAAAAAAAAAATGTTACAGAGCACTATCATTATAAGCTAAAACATTCGAATATTAAAAAAAGCAATTCAAATCGGATTTAGCATTATTACGTTCCAAAGTTGAATTTCATAAGAATTCATTAAATTTTATCTGATAAAAATAAAATCTGGTATATAACCGTATTATATATTCTTATATATAAAAAAGAGTACTTATAAGCAGAGGTTTCAAATAATTTGATTGCCAGTTAACAGAGTTGAATAGTTCTGAGAAATGTACATGCCGCGGGCAACTGTTTGGCATGGACGGACGCACGCACAATTGCACAATTAAAATTATATTACGTACATGCCCATTTTTTGTGTGGAGGTATTCGCGTCTTCGTATTTTGGGAATGTTTTATTCGAGAAGCTTTTTATTAATCTGGACCCACGCATCCTGTCAAATTGTTGGCACCAAAATTATGTGATACAGAGTAATAAGTCGTCTCCGTACGATTTTGTATAAAACCTCCTTGTTGTATATTCATTTATAAATTAGTATTGTCTGACTAAAGGTAATTACATATTTTATTTTTGACTCTACAAGATCCCACATGAATGAAATAGTGATTGTCATCGGAATTTGGATAATTAAAATATGATAAATTATTATAGATCAATGATAACTTATTTAGTAAATTTATCGCTGAAATGGTGCAATAACCGGGTTATTGATGTTGTTGTAAAATAATTTATGTGACATGTTTAGTATAAATTATTAGAAATTGAACATGTATATTTTTTTTTTGTTCTATTTATCCTTTAAATGAAAGGCAAAGGAGACAGTGTCCATACAGCCATATTTTTTAATATCAAATTATAACTAGCTCCTACATGTCAGTTTGTTTGTAATGAATAATGACTAAAGAGTAAGTAATGTAACTCACCAGAGACAAGAGTCATCCAGATCTGTGCACCGAGATGCGTGGCCACTGCTCCTACGTATAAAGCTCTCCAGAGCCGTATACTAGCGTTTGGACTGGGTTTACTCAGCCACGTGAGGAGCATGACCGCTGCCAGTGCTATGTGGAAAGGCTGCGTAGTCTTTGTGACGACACTGTGGAAGAAATAATTGATATTACTAATATTGTACATACTGATATTTTCTTTTTTTTGTTACGTAACTGGAAAGAAGTTGAATGTCCACCTAAGATGTAAAAACCGTCACTTATAAACAAGAACAGAACCGCAGTAATCTATACAAATAAATGAAATTAAGTGTCTGTTTGTAATTCCAAATATTAGTAATACTCCAATGTTTCCATATATTATCGTGTCATAAATTTAATTGGACTCACGTCGTACTATAGAATGCCCTCGTTATTAACAAGTATGATATTTTAACGTAACGTCGCGTCGGACAGTAAAAAAAAAAACGTTATGTGTAACATTTTATGATATTTGAACTTTATCTATTTTATTTTATTACATCTGGAATCTTATAAGTTTTTTATACATGAATACAGTGTTATATAGGAAATATTAATCGATGTTTCAATAATATATAAATTGCATATATTGATAATATTTATTTGGCCAGCACGAAGCGCATAGTATATTATATATGTAAACAAGCATACTATAGTGTTGTTATTACAAATATCACGGACAGATGCCTAAATATAAATATGCAGTGGAATACTAAGAATAAATTCTAGCAGATTTCCGAGAGGACAAGGTGACTAAATGACAGCTCGTTTAGTGATACGATAAAAAGAACATGTTATTTATCTCTTTTCACAACAACGAAGTAACGAGACGAAAGAACTAGTTACTCAATTCTTATATTCTAGTAATCACACAAAATTCCTAAAAATATAATTGTGAAAATTTATTTAATAGAGCAATACGCATTATAGCTTTTTCTTCTTGTAATGAGTTTGCGTTCCGAATGAGTGGTAGAATAAAAATATATAGGTAAGTATTCAAAAGTGCTTATTTACTTTTTGAATAAAGATTATTTGTATTCATATTCTAATAACAAAATTAGTTATTGGGTTATGCATTTGTTCTAAATCGGAAAGTATTACTGAACAACTGAACAACTGACTATTACGTTTTTAACTACCCCTCCAATCGATCCCCCGTCTAATTCAAACGGGGATCGAAATTACGACGGCCTGAGCCGAGGTTCGAACCCCTAGTGGTGCCCTCAGACTAAAGTCGTATCCGTTAAGCAGGAGTTAGCCTTCAGCCGCTCCATAAGTCCTGCCGCGGGTTTGGAGTGCCATCTGCACTCGCCCCCTAACGTCCGGTGAAGCTGTAAAGGCCAGCTGCGGCCAACAGCATTAGAGTAGTCCGAAAAAAAAAAGTTTTTAACTACTACAAAGTGATTAAACATTTGTCGCCTATTTGTATTTATACGTGTTTATATATTTTATATGTACATTTTCCTTTTGCTGTATAATGCAAATAAAATATTCTATCTCTCAATTGAATTCACAACGAACTATTATCATTTCATGGGAGTATTTTACTAGACATTGAATGGTATTATGAAACGATAACGCGACTTTCTCACCCCCAAGTCTTAATCACCACACATACGATAGACTTGTCATTCCACGAAGTAGCTAAATAATGACCTTTGTGTATAACATAAATACCAATTTGGATTAATCAGTATTTTAATCTTTATGATAACGTATTGCGTAAAAACGGTCGGTGTTACGTGAGACGTTACAAGTACGACACTTGGGACTAGTTTCAAGCGCTGTATAGGAAAGTATTTTGGAGGGAAACTTATAGGACTACTTTTTAATTCAACCGTTTTTACATGTAACGAAATATAATATATTTCTAAGATTAAGCAACTTGCAAATTATGTTATTGTAGGCTGAGAAAAGCAGTGAAACAACTGGACATGACGTCATAATAATCTTCAACAGTGATAACACATGAGGATCATCGTGGAATAACATTGTAAATCTTTTATTTTCCACACAGTTCGTATACCTGACAGTAGCAACTTTTTTATGCGCAATATCTTAGTCTTACCTCTAATTTTCTACTATATTCTAATTTTAAAAAGTTGACATTTCATTGATTTATTTTGACATTTAGTAGGATTTCCTTGTTACTACCGTAGCAATTAAGTTACTATAAGCTGTTTTTATATAAGCATTTTAAGAATTTACAATGTTTTGAATTGTTACATATATATTATTATTTATAAGAAAAATATGTATGTCAAACATATCACTGCATATTTACGTCACAAAAGGCACCGGGTGTACCAAATCAGATACAGAACGGTGGTGCGTGACTTCTGTCGCAAAAGCACAGATTAATTGATAGTTTCTAAGCTCCTTTCAACGATTAGATATAGAGACGGCCAGTTCGCACGTATTATTTGTTCCACACGCTCCTTGTACGATGTGACGAATAGATAGTGTGCATGACGGTCAATAACCGGTGACAACAATCAAACAATATTAGCACCGCTGTCCAAAGGTGTCATCATAAAAAACTTATCGAAATCATTTATAATTTAATAGTACTATCTCTCGATAAGGATGTATGGACGTGCCTCTTTACACGTTCATAGTACAGCCATCGCAAAACTGCCCAATAAGGTCATACATAAAATGATATGGATTCTGTGGTACCTTTGTATTTCTATGTCGTTAACCGCGGTGGTGAAGTCGTTTAACACTACTTCACCATAGGATGATCACAGATTTGTATGCGCAAATATTTCATCATCAATCTGTTCTTGTTGCATAGGTTATTTTCTTTGTATATTACTATGTAATTACAAAACATACTTCTTTTTTTTTCTTTTCACTATCTCGGCACATTTGTGCGTTTGCCAAAGACAATAAAAATACTTAAAGACGTTTATTAATATTAAAAAAAAAATAGTCTAGTATCTATAGTTCAAGAGCAAAATCAAAAATAAAAATATAAATTCGTTTATGCAACTGAAGATGTGATTAGGAAATAGATACAAAACCGTATACGGATGTTTAGGCAGTATGGTTTGTTGTCTTAGTCTGTTATACTGGAACGATTCAGACAAAAAAATATATCTCTTGAATTCATTCAGACTCGTTTTTAAATAAATTAATAACCAGTGCACACAGACAGAATTACTTAGAATAAAATGTTTTTGAATCTATGGTATATTTTTTTAAATTACTATTCTATTCTTCAGTAGACTGCAGAGATTCAGTTTAGATTTCTTAAAAAATAATGTATTTTTTTTTCAGTGAAAACAGCAATATTTATTTGTTCTGTTTGAGGAAGTGTTGATACAACTGATACAAAGTATGGAATATTATTTATACAAGCAATATACGACTTTTTTGTAATAATTAAAGTTTAAAATAGTATATCACGTAGCGTCGGTTAGTGGGTTATACAAATAAAGGTTATAATGTCATGTAGAACATTTAATTATCAAATTCAAGGACTGATTGCAGATTTATTATCATGAGAATATAAAAAAAGACTACATATAAATCAGAGATAAGAGTACTCTTGCTTGAAATATTTATTTCTTTTGTATATAAGTGCAATAAAGGGTTATATATACTTATGAAGTTGTATAAATCTGTATATACATATATGGAGTACCTATATCAAATGTATAGTTCAATTATGGAATTAAATGAAATATATTTTTTTTTGTAGGACTTTTTAGCCATTTATGGACGTCATGCTTTTGTAATAATATTTTTTCCCCTCCATGACATTTTACTTCTCTAAAATGGTGACAAATGTGTGGTATTACGGGTATAGCACGTTGAAGTGATATCCGTAGGCAGTTTATGTATATAGGCGAGTATTACTGCTTACCGTCATTTTGTTTGCCACTTTAATTAGGTACATAAAACAATTAGAGAGTTTTCATATACTTTCAACGCTTTTTACGTATTAAATAATTACATATTATTATAAATGAAATATGCATATCCCTGATAAGATAAATTCTTAATTTAGAACAGATAATTAGAAATACATTAGCCTCGCGTAACGGTTCGCGCAAAAGTTTCATACAAACTGAATTTTTTACTATCTTTAGATAGTAGAAAATGATGTCGCTTCAGTAGTCTGTTCGCTTACATTTTTTTAACTACGCTACGGATTTTATTGCTGTTTTTAGAAATAGATAGAGTCATTCAAGAGAAAGTTTAAGCGTATAATACATGTACACCCGTGCGAAGCCAGGGCAGGTAGCTAGTATATATATAAATAACACAGCGCCCTCTACTCTGAAACTAAACAGAAGTTCCACTATGCGTCTGATAAATGTACTATATATTTACATATACAATACAATAATACTTGTTGAATATAATTATTTGTATTCTGCGGGCATCGAACGAGCTACCAAAGGTAAATAAAGCAGTGTTATACTACTACAGCATTGTAATCTTTTCTTTCGTTTCATTATTATCATTCCTTATACTTGCTTTTAAAGTGTCGAGGAAAAAAAGAATAAGTACGTGCAATGAATTATTTATAACTGTTGAGAACAATGCATGGTTTTAATGAATACAGTGTTTCGTGGTTTTGCCCGAAATCGTTTTAAAATTTACGTGCATTGTATGCATGCTTTGTATGACGTCAGATTTTCCACAAGATTGAATGCTCCATGTAATGCATGGACCAGGAATGAAATAATAGGACGACTGATCACAGAGTATTAATATTTTAACAGCTTATTGAAGGTTCAGCTTCGAAATATAACCATAGATAACAATTTTAATTGCATCTTTAATATAGATTATAAAGTTTCAGTTACAAGTGATATAATGTAGATTAAAAAGAGAGAAATGTATAAGAAAAAGTGTCAACAATACAATACAAAATCATTAAACTTGCTGCCTCAAAAGTTCAGTATCAGTTTAAGAATTAAAATACTGATCTTCAGTTATTATTCCCAGGATAATTTTCTTTCTATTTTTCCCTCAATAATTTTCATAAATTCATCACGCCTTTTTGTTTCCTTTCGGACTACTCTAATGCTGTTGTCCGCACCTGGCCTTTACAGCTTCACCGGACGTTAGGGGGCGAGTGCAGATGGTACTCCAAAGCCGCGGAAGTACTTAT